CTAATGTGCCTTGCCATTTTCTGGAATTGTGTTAATAGCGGCATAATTCCCAAAAGAAATTGCATTCTGCACGCACTAATGGTCTTCATGGCCCGGTATACAAATTACACAAACGTGCCATAACACCCTGCTGAAAACCGATTGGTAGTGCGCTGAAAGTGAAAGTGTTCGTGCATGTATACGAATTTTTTATACTGTACTTTCTACACCATGTACCGGGTCACTTTCTTTCGAACGTACTGGCTGCGCGTTAAACTCACGTAATCGTTGATATCGGTATTGAAATTCTACGTCTGCGACTGCGATACGTAGACTCGCATTATTATATCCGATGATGTTCCTTCCAGAAGCTGAGCACGCGGCTCGATCCACGGTGTTGTATCTGCTCATCGACCGAAGCGTAGCGAAGGTCTTCTATGTTCAAGGATAATGAAAAATGTGGTGTCTGTGCGTCGGTCACCGCCACCAAATGCACATATGCGCGGCGGTATGTGATACCTGACGGCTGACGCACATATGCACGCTGGCCGTATATACTCAAGGCAAATGTAATTCATGGTGTCTGTGCGTCGGTCACCGCCACCAAATGCACATACGAGCGGTGGTATGTGTTATTTGACGCACATATGCACGCTGGCCGTATATACTGTACTCGCGGCACATGTAACTCGTGGTGTCTGTGCGTCGGTCACCACCGCGAAAGGCAAATATGCATGGTGATGTTTGCAGGCCGGATGCGCACATATACACTTTAGCCGTATGCATTGGCCGGTGGTCATCTCCCCGATATGATCAAAAGATTACTTATTGCTTTTCCTTTTATGTAAAAATGGCAAAAGAGCGCTACAAAAGCGTCTAAGATTGCGTTTTTGCAATTCACAAGCGACGAGTTTCGTTATCAATAATGGAATCATTAGTCGATGGTGACAGGGACAATATACCGTTTGTCTGCTGAAAATTTTTGAATTAGTCTCCTAGCTGGGTGTTGCAGACGCTGTCCAGTAGACCAGTACCATAATACGGCTGCCTTACACTCCTCTCATGAGTTATGTCACCCACTTCGGCCTCATGACATTTGTGCAACCTAACAAAAACCAAGAAACCGAAGAATACGTCACTCGACCGACCGGCAATCGTGCATTTCCATTTCCTCACAGGCATTTTTGATGTGCCTCAAAATAGCAAACACAATAAACCCGTGCACTTAAAAACCAAAACCAATTAATATTCCGGTATTAAGGAGTTCCACCTAGAAAGTTGTCTAATTAGAATCGTAATAGGTCAGCATTGCTCGGCGCAATTTCGTGAAAATGGTAATCCTCCGGCTAGGTTGGTGTCACCAGTTTTTTGACATGATGGACCTATTCTTGGATTCTGCTTTTCAGTCTTGGCGTTTTATAAACCGCCACGATCGTTAACAAATCCAACACTTTACACCGTATTCAGAAGATAATTCTACCATTGACTACTCTGCATATGTACATATTGTGGCAGCGACCTCCCATAGCTCTGCATGAACCGGCATAAATTATTCCACAAGGGCAGAAGAAATTAAGATTTTTTACAATTTCAAAACATGTATTGAAAACATTCACTTACCTGCAAAATTTTACATAAATGCCTACCGGGGCAAAAGGCCGAGATTTCACTTGTCACTCTACTAAAAATTCTACCAAACGGGGTGAGATTATTAAATAATCGAGGAGGATTGCCTACAGAAAAAGGGTTGCCAATCACTCTACGCATAGTCCTGTTACGCTTCGGTCTTGCAGTGCCCGCAAATAGCGAGTGCACTTTCCTAGTTAACAATTTTTCATCTACAATCTACATTAAAAAAGAAGTATTTATGTATCCGTTATAGTCTCCGTGGTTACAGTCATTGTGTTATGGGCTTTTTATAACTGTGCAGTGAATACAGTACTTACTTTTCCGAGTGCTCTTTACGTTTCCTATACTTAAGACCTGGTGAAACCATCTTCTAACCACTGGGTAATAAAAACAAACAAAAATCTATTGGCACACCTATGGAAAATACGGAATTTTTAAGACCAAGCTGGACTTAAACTGACCACGCGTTGACGAGCCTATTAAAACGGCGCATAAATACGCTTTGGTCGGTAAGCTTGTATGAATATAAAGACAAGGTAGCCTCGCGCATCCGCGCTCGGCACTTAAGTACTGGATAGCATTGGCTTTGTTTTGGAAAGGTCATTATAAATAGAAGTAAGTATATAAAGGAAATAGACTAAGATTGAAATCGGATCTACGCTTTCGTAGTAGTGTTTTATAAGGCGTATTAACGTTCCAAGGTTTTAATTTTTTACGCTCTTATGTTCTGACGTTCTGATGTTTCACGTTCGGATTTTCTAACGTTCTGACCTTCTGACGTTCTTAACTTCTGACCTTCTTACTTTCTGACGTTTTTTCACTTTTCACAATCTGACATCCTGATGTTCTGACGTTCTAACGTTCTGTTATTCTGACGTTCTGAATTTCTGACATTTTGACGTTTTTAATCTTTCACGTTCTGACCTTTTGACGTTTTATTTTTTACATTCTGACATTCTGCTGTTCTGACGTTCTAACGTTCTGACGTTCTGATATTCTGGCGTTCTGAACTTTTGACGTTCTGACGTTTTTAGTTTTTTACGTTCTCACCTTCTAAAGTTCTAATGTTCTGACGTTCTAATGTTCTGACGTTCTGACGTTCTGATATTCTGACATTCTGATATTCAGACGTTCTGAATTTCTGACGTTATGAATTTCTGATGTTTTTGATTTTTCACGTTCAGACGTTATTAATTTTTCACGTTCGGATTACCTGACGTTCTGTCTTTTGGCGTCCTGACTTTTGATGTTTTTACGTTCTGACGTATAGATACTGTGTAGGCGGTAACTGGGCAATGTACTTTACCTTTTATGGAGGTTTACGTAATTTGCTGCTCACAAAACAATCTTTCATCTACAATCTACATTAAAAAAGAAGTATTTATGTATCCGTTATAGTCTCCGTGGTTACAGTCATTGTGTTATGGGCTTTTCATAACTGTGAAGTGAATACAGTACTTACTTCTTCGAGTGCTCTTTACGTTTCCTATACTTAAGACCTGGTGAAACCATCTTCTGACCACTGGGTAATAAAAACAAACAAAAATGTATTGGCACTCCTGTGGAAAATATGGAATTTTTTAAGACCAAGCTGGACTTAAACTGACCACGCGTTGACGAGCCTATTACAACGGCGCACAAATACGCTTTGGTCGGTAAGCTTGTCTTTATATTCATACAAGCTTACCGACCAAAGCGTATTTATGCGCCGTTTTTAACTCCTCGATAACTCGTGGTCAGTTTAAGTCCAGCTTGGTCTTAAAAAATTCCATATTTTCCATAGGTGTGCCAATAGATTTTTGTTTGTTTTTAATAACCAGTGGTCAAAAGATGGTTTCACCAGGTCTTAAGTATAGGAAACGTAAAGAGCACTCGAAGAAGTATTCACTGTACAGCAATAAAAAGTGCTTTAAAACATAATAATGACTGTAACCACGGAGACTATAGCGGATGCATACATACTTGCTCTTTAGGTAGAATTATATATTATTATTACTGTACGTCATGCAAAAGTTCATACGTATTTCAGAGCGTCAAAACGTCAGAAATTCAATACGTATGAACGTCAGAACGTAACACCGTCAGAACGTCACAAAGTAAAAACATCGGAACGTTAGAACGCCAGAACGTCATAAAGTAAGAACATCAGAACGTTAGAACGTTAGAACGTCAAAACGTCAGAACATTAGAACGTCATAAATTCAGAACGTTATAACGCTAGAACGTCAGAACGTTAGAACGTCAGAACGTTAGAACGCCAGAACGTTAGAACGTCAGAACGTTAGAACGTCAGAACGTCATAACGTTAGAACGTCAGAACGTCAGAACGTCAGAACGTCAGAACGTCAGAACGTCAGAACGTCAGAACGTCAGAACGTCAGAACGTCAGAACGTCAGAACGCGAGAACGTCAGAACGTCAGAACGTTAGAACGTCAGGACGCCAGAACGTCAGAACGTCAGAACGTCAGAACGCCAGAACGCCAGAATGCCAGAACGCCAGAACGTTAGAACGTCAGAACGTTAGAACGTCAGAACGCCAGAACGTCAGAACTCATAACGTTAGAACGTCAGTATGCCAGAACGTCAGAACGTCAGAACGTTAGAACGTCAGAACGTTAGAACGTCAGAGCGCCAGAACGTCAGAACGCCAGAACGCCAGAATGCCAGAACGCCAGAACGTCAGAACGTCATAACGTCAGCACGTCAGAACAGAACGTCAGAACGTCATAACGTCAGAAGGGCAAAACGTCATAAAGTAAGAACGTTAGAACGGAAGACCGTCAAAACGTTACAACGTCAGACCATCAGAACTTCAGAACGTGAAAAATTAAAATTGTCAGAACGTCAAAAATTCCGAAAGTCAGCCTTTATATATTTATAATGACCTTTCCAAAACAATGCCAATACTATCCAATACTTAAGTGCCGAGCGCGGATGCGCGAGGCTACCTTGTATGAATATAAAGATAAAGGTTTAATGTATGTAAAGACCTAACGTTAGGTCTCGCATAATACAGACTCTGTACTGTCATAGGGAAATTGCAAGTACATTTACTATCTAATTTCACCTGTGGTAGTTGCTAGTACTAGTAATCTAATTTGCTAGTACTAGTAATTATAATATTATTTTTAAGCAATGTTTAAGCTGTATTATGTGTAGTGAATCTGCCGAGCTTAATGGGTGTACGCATTAACGGAAAAGTCAATGGTTCATTTATGTACAGTATTACTGGATAGAGAAATACTGTATATACGTACTAACCGTACTGTTAGCTACACGTGGTTGTGGACGCTAAGGTGAGTACAGCACCGTCGCGCTAAAATTCTGGCAAACTAACAGTGTGACTGTGACAAACAGGCAATCATAGTAACCATTTGATTCGAATATCACGGGGTAATGTCATACCCAGCCTTAAGAAAAGTTCACTTCTTACTCAGCATCCACTGACCCCGCCGGTCTAAGGTCAGTAATTATTGGGTAAGTAATGTAGCTACATACTAAGCGGCGACTGCATTATGTACAAGTGCACCGTAGTGACGTACACACGTATGTACGAGTACCGTACTTTGCAGTGAGAAAAATAATGACAAAAACACTGGCACTATTGCGTGATTTAGCATGGCTGCAGCTGAGCGTGTTGACCGTGTGGAGCGTGTGTTGGGGATGCCAGCCGCCCCCGTTGGCTCTCCCCTGGCCACTGCCAGTGACCCATGGCCATGGGCCCCCAGCGCCAGACCGTAAGTGCCTGGATGCAGGGAGGAGATTGATTACTAGACAAAAATGTGGCTGCCCCGTTTTAACGCTTACTGCGCGAACCAGAATATTTCCATGCTAATTAGCACCATTTTACATAAGCAATGGTGAACCGCGGACCGAGCAGCCGATGTGACCTTTACCCCACATTGTATGTGACACTACACTGACACACCTTCCTCTGCAGTAGAAGACCTGATCACGGAGGCCATGCGGACGAGACAGGACGAGCGCATCACTCTGCCGCTGGCCGCGAACGCGGGCATCCTGGAGGGCCTCCTGAGCCGGCCCCGGCTGGGCGAGGACGCGACGTTCCGCTGCGAGGCGCCACCCGGGGGAGACTGGCGCTCGCTGACCTGGCTGCACCGTGGACGCACCGTCTTCGAAGCAGGCCACGCCCCGCCGGAGGACCCGGCACAGCGCTACAACGTCAGCCGCGTGGGTGACCGCCGTCTGCAGCTGGTGGTCCTCAACGTCACCGCCTACTCGGGCGGGCCGATCCTCTGCGTGGATGCCACGCCCACCCAGAACCACACCAGCCAACCGCGCGTTCTGCGCCGCTTCACGCTCCTCCCGCTGATTGCCCGCGCCAGCGAAGTCTTCGCGCCGCTGCCCGATGGCGGGGCGCGCGTGACCAGCGTGGGCGCGGCCAGCATCATCCCCTGCCGCGTCCGCCTGCCGCTCCCGGAGGCCGTTCTGCGCAATCAGAAGAACCATCTGTTCTGGCGCTACAAGGGCCGCACTCTCAGCCAACCCACGGAGCGGCCGTACGGCGACCTGCCCCGCTCCCGGAAACCATCAACCATCACGGGCACGCCCAACCCGCCTATAACCGCATTCAACAACCTCCCCGGACACTTCCTCAACTATGGACTGCAGTTGCGACACCATCAAGCGGACGACGGCGGCGACGTGCAGTGCTTCTTCCGGCCCCACGAAGGGGTTCACGAAAGGGTATTTCAATCCACTAGCATAACGGTGCTTGGCGCATAATTCTGTGACCACAGATTAAGTTTGTCCTTCGTTTGTCGTTATTATATAACGAAGTCTGTCTGTTTTTGACAGTGATCAAAATAAATATTTATTTGTCCACTTTCAGCATGGACGCATGGAAGCCGTGTTCTTACATCTTCACACTATCCAGACTCATTTGACGTTTCTTAATTGAAGAGTCAGCAGTCAGTAAAAAAAACAAACCATTGCAAAGCAGTAAACAGATTTTACTGGGTCATAGTGCAAAGTTTACTAAGCGCAAATATAATATATTCTTAGTGCAAGCATATATATAGTTATATACGTACATTCTTAGTTACTATATATATTCTTTTAATATATTATCTTCTTAGTGTAAAGTTCATTATGCGTCCGCTTGCTATATGCGCAGCAAAGCATAGTTCTTGTACTTAGCTTACTAATCGACTACTGGCATTCTTAGTAATCTAAGCAGTACACTTTTGGAAACCGGCCGGTTATCACCGGGGAATCTAGCGAGCGAAAGCCTTCAATTCCCTGAGTGCTTCTTGAAGCGGACTCTGGACCCTATAGCTGGGATATCTAACGCCGCCCCTTGCAATATCGACCGCATCAGCCCAACGACAAACACAAATTCACCGGGTACACCAAACTCCTTCATACAGTGCGCCACGCCAAACTATGCTGTACATATTGTACATTTGGCAGGGCCGATGCTTGCCTGATAATAATGATGATATCCATGTACAGTGAAACCTCTCCTAAAATACACTTCTTTATAAAATACCCTTCTCTATAATAGTCAGACTGTAAGGAACCGGATCGGCTCGTAGACTATAACATAGGGGGGATTCTCTTTATAGCATTCACCTCTTTATAAGCCTTACGTACACTTTCCGCGGAACCGAACGCATATCTATCGGTGTAGAGAGGTTTCACTGTAAATAATCATAGGGCTATTGATATACCATAAATGCATATTATAGTAAGTAGTACGTGCAAGATTTGAAGGAGATCGCTCCATAATGAGACTTTCGATACACCAGAATACATTTAAACTTTTGGAATTCTGGATCACCCAAGTCCATAAGTACAAGTTATAATTTCAGGTTAACCATAAGTCAGGTTACATTTTATAAGTTACTTATATCCTGAACAGTTCAGGCTGAACTGATAAGTCCATAGCCATAACTTTCCAACCGGATGTTGCGCGCAACCAGGTTTCACGCCTATGTGAACAAATCCTCTGGCTACAGAATAACGTAAAGCAAATCAGAAAAGTGTCTGGGAGTGCGCGACAGCGAAAGCTCCCGTGGATGTACAGGTACACGAATTTGCATGGTGCCATGTACTGGGCCAAATCCCTTAAACTGTTTCAGCATTTATTTGGCATATGCCGCTATGGGCATTAGCCGCATGAGCACAATTGTTGTCAAGACATTAATTTTGTTAAGCATTAAGTACTTATGGTTAGCTACTCACTGTTTTTATTCGAGCATTTTAATTTCCAAATTTTTATTTCAAACCATCATTTGAGCACGTGCTAAAATGCAATTAGAGAAACAAACGCGTTACCCCGCTGTATCTCTAGAGGCAGTCGTTGTCGTAGAAATTCGAGCATTATACTCGTATGTAGTACTTCTGAGTTCTGATAATATCTCGAAAATGGATTCTACAAGTGCAAGCCCATTTAAAACTCGTACAAGTCCATCACGGTTAAATATGGCTTCACATGAGTTACGACTTAGTACTTTTGCGCTTTTTCCGATAGGAAGTTTTACAAGAGCTTTGTTAGAAAAACTGCAGGCGCAGGGAGCGGCAGGCCGGATGAGGTAGTAAGATGTAGCCTACTACATAATGAAACAGGAAAAAGAAAAATACAAAGTATATACGTTTTTCGCGCTTCGGAACTTAGCGAGTTTACACTTTGCAGCAACATCTACAGTAATAATCATGGAATCTGGCTTATTATTGGCGAACGTACTGTAGCCCGTAACAGCCCGTTGCACGTTGTGTTAATGCATGGATATAATTTCCTTGATCAGCACGAGCTGCAATGCGTATGGAAATACACTGGAACTCAAGAAACTCAAGAAGGAGGCGACGCTCGCCCACTGCACAGCCCAGAATTGTTCTACCAGGGAGATTGTGGCCGTTACGATGACTACAAGTTGTATAGATACTGTACAAGCTCAGCACGGATGCATATTGGTTTGCGACTATTTTTAGAATTTTGTTGCCGTCAAATCATGCAGTATGTTGCAACTTCGTTAGAAATAAGCTGTTTCCGATTTTTTGTTACTCGAAGTCGTAGAATTACGTCGTAGTATTACTGTTTAGTGAACAGGGCTGCTATAATTATGTGAAAGATTGACCGAGCTGTTGATACAGCTTAGTGCATTGGGCCGCAAGGTGCGACAGTGAATCAAGTGAAATACTAGAAAACGGTAATGTGCTTTTCGACTTCATTTCAGATCTTACCAAAATCTAAAAAGATCCAATATCAAATTATGAATTGATTGACATAAGCACGGTTTCCGTCGGTTAACCACAAGAAAAACAGGCGAAGCAAAACTGTTTCTTGTGCAAGTGCAGTATAACGTGCCCGTGGTAACAGGTCAGCTCATGTTAGCCCTATGACAACCATGGTAACAAGCTTTTGAGTGACCACCGGCCTGAGAATTCTTAAAATAGTAAAAGGTCATTAGTCTCACAACACCCACCGCCCTAAAAGGATTCTAGAATATGTTAAAGCATGAAAATCGGTTTATCAGGAGCTGAGATCACCCGGGACAATGAAGAGAGGCCGAACCTCTGCAAGAGATGTTTAGTATTCATGTAACCAGTTTACGGAGGACTACATCCGTAACCGATTTATCGGCGTCAGCTTTTGGTGATTAATTAATTTTGTTTTTGTTCGCATCGAGGCCGCTGGCCGAGGCGTGTCTTGTCATTTACGCACATGGGAACAACTTGTCCATGTATGTCTATGGAGTCCCATGGTAACAACTTTCCTTTCCGGTCCCCTTTTTTCCCCTAGGGGCGCATCGTCTCGGTAATAGCGTAACATCTACCGCGTCGTTGCAGCAGTTCTGGCTCACTTGACCGCGTTGAAATCGGCCTACCCGTTCTCCCAAACATAGGTTTTTTAACCTTACTCTGTCACGGTTGTTACGGATGTAGTTAATAAGCTGAGCACGGATGAATATTGGCTTACGACTGGGCATATACACTTGTTTAAAATTCAAAAGTTGCAGTGTGTTCGAGGAGACAGTAGTTAAGATTTCATGGTTAGCAGTTATTCCTGTATAAGAGGAACCAGTAGTTATTTAATAGCAGTTATGAATTTGTTTGAAACCATTTAATTTTAATACGAGTATAAGACAACAGATTGCCTTCGGTTTATTAGATTTACCTGGTAAGAGGGAATGCTCTGCGGTCAACTTGCGTTTGTATCAGCTGAAATTTTTTCTGTTCCTGCATCTAGTTTGGTGACTAGTCAACAAGCGGACGTTTACTAGCCCTATCTATTACGTTAGCAATTTGCACTGTTTCTTAAGAGTTGAGGTCGATTAGGCCAATATCTGATCCCCGGTTCTTCAGATGCTGACCTTTCGCCATTAAAGTTTGTTTCGTTTTTAGCCTCGGCTGCTAGTTTTCATTTTATTTGAAAACTAACTAAATCATTTGTTCACTCGGTATGTGGTCCACAAAAAACGCAGAGGCGAAGCCAAAGCTGTTTCTTATTAAACCCTCATTTGCCCGTGGGGAAAAACAAGCGCATGTTAGCCCTATGGCATCCATGGCAACAAGCCTTTGAGTGACCACTGGGCTTATTCTACTTGCGAGAGTAGAAAAACCACTAGCTTTGTGTTACTCTACGTTTTGAAAAGATTCTGTGAAAATTTAAAGCTGCAGAATCAGTTCAGTGGAAGCCGAGAACATAGGTAACAAAGAGGAGAGGCCGAAAACCTGCAAGAGATGTACAGTATTCATATAAAAGCTGAGCACGGATGAATATTGGCTTACGACTATTTAAAATTACGTCGTATCTTCATGTGTTGGATTGCGGTGCAAAGTCATAATGGCAGACACAGACAGCTACTTATTCAGGATGGTTGCCTGCGGTGAGAATCGTGAAAGATCGTATTGCCCTTTTGCCCCTAAAGTTTTTTGGTTCATGGCGCAGTTGCTAAGTTTCGGCTTATTCTACTGAATTCTACTGAATCTGAGAAGCTGCTGTGGTGGCTTAAAAGTGGGCGAAGTGATTAGTTAAGTGTTCACTCAGCCAGGGTAGCACAAGAAACGCAGAGGCGAAGCCAAAAATTTTTCTTGTTCAAATTTATCATGCCCGTGGCAACAGAGCTGCCCATCTCAGCCCTATGGCGTCCATGGTAACAAGATTTTCAGTGGTCACTGGGCCTACCGCTATCGCGATGGCGAAAGGTCAGTAGTCTAAGAACACTCCCCGCACTGGGAGGATTCTTGTGCAATTTGAAGCAGAAAAATCGATTGAGTAGAAGCGGAGATCATGCGTTACAATCAGGAGAGGCCGAAGGTCTGCAAGAGATGTTTAGTATTCATATAACCAGTTTACGGAGGACTACATCCGTAAATAAATTCCTGGGGTTTGGCATTCGGCGTCTTATTTTTGCGATTTATTGGTTTGTTTACAAATCGAGGCCGGGGGCCGAGGCGAGCCCGTGTGCTTTACGCCTCTAAGAACATCACCATTGTTCACAACACTTTGCATTAATTAGGTAGTGCGGAGCGAAGTCTGAAGCCGAGACTTGCAGGCCCATGGCAACAATTCGTTTGTTGAGGCTCCTGCTGCCCCTTCGAGGCGCATCTGGTTGGCAATAGCGTAACATTACCCGCGTCGTTCTGACGATTCCGGCGCACTTGACCGCGTCGAAATCGGACAACCCGTTCGCCCAAACATAATTTTCTTAGCAAAGGCCGTCACGGCTGTTACGGATGTAGTTAACCAGTTTACGGAGGACTAAATCCGCAACCAATTTATCGGATCGATTTATTTGTCGTTGTATTCGAGGAAGTAGCAGTTATTCAATAGCAGTTATGAATTTGTTTGAAACCAGTTAATTTTAATACGAGTATAAGACAACAGATCGCCTTCAGGTTATTAGATTTGACTGG